AGGTTTTCTGAGATGGAGAACTCGAATCTGCATTCCGCTTCCATCGAAATACTATTGGTTGAGCAGTAACTAATAGAAATCAAGTTATAGGAAAAACGACTTTCTTAGGGTAAATCAAGGGAAGAGTTCAAATTTGAGCTGTATTTGTGGATCAATTAGATCGTGGTCAAAAATATAAGTTGGTTCTCTTTAATTATCTTTGTCATAGGTGAGTCAACCTTCTTGTTTCTTTATGTTGTATATACCATTTTGTAGCTCTTGAAATTCTCTATCGAATGGTATATAATAGTTGGCGTTTTAGTTGACTATGATAGGAAAAGTCTTTTACGAAAGTGGCGATGGGTAGATCTTTTCATAGGGAAGCTATAAGGAAAAATGGGTGTTTTTGCAATAACTCAGGAACGGCTTGGCCGATCCTTCTCATCTTCGAACTCGACCGAGATATTGTAAAGACTGAACTGTATAGAAAATTTCATCGTGATCGGACTCTCCTTTCGAAAGTTATTGTGTAAACGACCGGACGAACATACTGACCGATACTAGAGTGTACTCACGTTTTGAGTACACAAAAACCAAAAATCTCTTTTTATTTCATTTCATACCGATATTTCTATGTATATAGCTTCATTGTCGAAATAGAGAATGAGATTTTTGCAAAAATAGAAAATTTTACATAAAAAAAAATATGAACATATAGAAAAAAGAAAGGCATTTGTTTATGTTTCTTCATATTTTATAGGAGTGTTTATAATTCATTTCTGTTCATTATAAATGTCTATCTTTCTCCTCTTTGGTATGGTACACAGTACACAACGAGAAGGAATTAATTCAACTTGAATTAAGTAACGTGATCGATACATTAAGAATTAAATAATCCTCTCGAAATGACCTAAATATTAATGCTCTACTCACATTGCCTAATTCAAATTAATTTCGTGTAGTGTGTACAAGGTTTTTGTTCTTATTTTGTTTTATGTAAAATTATCGATTGCTGTAACAATCTCAATGTATATTTCGGTAATGAAGACTAGTACAATGGAACCTCGATATGGAATAAAATAAAACAAAAGATTTGAAAAAAATTAATTTGTTTCTTTCTATCAAATCTAAACCATAATGTGATATACACTTGTTAAATCATTATTATTATCAAATGGAAAAAATTTCAAGTCTTTTCAAATTTCCAGGATTTTTAAGAGTTGTTCTGACGACTTTCTATGCGATGTCAAGATTTTTGTGGTAATAAATAAGAAAATAAAACAAATCCTTACTTTAAGATCTTGGCTCTTACAAGTTTTATGATGAAAATTCCAAAAGAAATTTTCGAAAATTCTTTAAAATGAGGGAGCTCCTAATATGTCTTGCACGTTGATTCCTCTGGAGGGGGCTTCTAATATGGGAGGGACTTCTATTATAGGGGGAGGGGTTGCTGTACGGAAACTGAATACCCACATCTTCGTGTCCGCCACTCTGACATTTTCTACTGGTATAGGCACTTACCGGGACTTTTTTGTGATTCTTGTTGTACTTTTAGTGGTTGTTGTTGTGCCTTTAGCGGCTCTTGTCGCTGTGCCTCCAGTGCCTCTTGTTGTTGTGGCTTCAGCGGCTCTTGTCGTTGTGCCTTCAGTGGTTCTTGTTGTTGTGATTTTAGTGCTTCTTGTTGTGTTTCGACAAACGGTGGTTTAATCAGAGGAAAAGGTGGCTGAATTTCCTTGAGATGAATAATATGAAGATTGGAACCAGCATCAACCTGTCCTACGACTTCAAAAAATGTTCCCGGCATCAAAACTACTTCTTTTTCCGTGTCACTGTAGTGAGAATGTTTCGTAATTGATTTTTCAGAAACGCATTCAATCGAAAATAGCGTTCTTGTCCCAGTTTTTCCGAGAAAGTCTGTTGCGTCTAATACGTCTGGAGTCGTTGTGCAGCTACTGACTCCCCACCAAGCGAATTTCATTCCTGTTTTGTATTTATAGCTTAAATCAATGCCTTTGACGCCACGCCAAACGACACCCCTGACAGATTGTAATTTAAATAAGCCAGTGATGAACAATTTAAGAAAGGGAAACCACGGCATAAGAGAGTTTCGTCGTTCAGCACGAAGTATCTGGTTAAGTACTGCGAAGAGACTATCTCCTGATGGAAATTGCATCGTATACAAATGTATTGCTGCACTTTCATCTTGTGTCAATCCGTCTTTTGGATTCTGACTATTGTGTTTTGCAATATAGACATTTTCTTCAAGATCGATAAAGAAATGAGAAACGGCTGAAAGTGCTTCTTCCAAAGGGAGAAGTGGTGCATTTTGATAGCCATTAATCGGAGTAAGAAGTTTGTCAACTGGTTCTTCTTTGACATCAGTATAACGAGAATTCGCTAGGTTATCTGCTGATGAAGTAGTACGAGAGGGATAAGTAGCAGCCATGGTGTCTGCAGCCTGTTACTGATGAAAAAAAGTATGCGCGTACTTTGACTTAAACAAACACAAAATAAAGTGCTTATTGAGATTGTTATTTCATTGAAAAAGAAAAAGAAATTTTGTTTCGTTCTCTTCTTCTCTGCAAGGTTGATTCCATTATTGTGAAGAACATTATTCTTCATCGTTCCTTTCATGGTGCTTAACGAAATGTGCACAAGCACCAATAGAAGAAAGTATTTTTTTTTGTTCTTTAAACTCGGAGTTCGTAACGATTCTTCTCAAATATCTAAGAAAATATAGGACTTCACAAAGAGCATTTTAAAATTACTTTTGTGAAAATATAGAAACTATATCAGACTACTTTTTTTCTTATAAAAAAGATTATCGCAGACATTGTTAAATAACACAATTACTTCTACGATTCTAAATAGTTTACCCTCGAAGTTATCAAGTTCATTGAAAACGAATGTATAGAGACATTTCAGTGAAGAAAATAAAGAACTTTAAGAGTTCGAGACAAAATATGCTCAATACCATATAACACACTCTAAAAGAATGTGTTTTACTGAACTTCAAGAGTTTCGAATCTTTGCACCCAATCAATTTGAGTTCAGTAGACTGAAAATCGTTTCTTAATCATCATACAAGAGTGTGCGCGTGGATGTGGATGTGGTGTTGGTGTAAATTAGATAGAAAACCGACCGATCTATATTTCTCTGATACAAATCAATCTGCTAGTCTCAACTCTTCCTTTTCAGCAATCGATGAAGTCATAATTATTTTTAAACGTAAAATTCGTGCTTTATCAAATAATAAATACAAATGCAGAGTTTAATTTCGTCGACGCATTTCGTGTATTTTATTTAAAAATAAACACACTCATCAGGACTCTGTATTACAATAAAGGCACGTATGAAAAAGAATTGAAAAAAAAAACAAATGTAACATTAATAGAATGAGATCTAAATGTAATAGTAAACTACATCTAACACAAATCTACATGTCATAAAAGGCTACATTTGAACAGAAATATTACAAAAATTAGCTTATAAAAATGCATTACGAACATAATAGAAATATAAATTATAACTGCAAAAAATATAGGGTAAAGCCTGAACTCATTGTAAATAATTTAAAAGAACAATATTAAAGAGAGTGTGCGTATCCTCTCATTTGCGAACATAAAATCGAAACTTAAAAGCTATTAAATTTAATTTCAGTTGTTTTTTAAATTTAATTTATTCAAATTTCAAATAATCTTAAGTCTAAAATTTTCGGTTTTCAAGTTTCAAAAAAAAGAACTACTGATATGAATTTTAAGGCCCCCCCCCCCTCAGAAACAAACTTTTTTATTTTTCATCCGATTTCAACCAAAATTTCAGGGAATGTTAGTCTTGGC